TAAAATCATGTACATAAATATATAACAGTTATTAAATAATATTAACAGTGGAAATACTTAAAGGACTCTGAAAAGTAAGTATAATATAAGTACATATTCTTAAAAACAAGATCACAATTGAATTTAGTAAAAATAATATTCAATACAACTGCACTATTGGCACCGAGGACATGAAATTCTCTTCGTTAGTAGTAGAAGTATTCAGTTCTGTGTGTGTTGTCATCCCAGAAGGGCCTGCTTGTGGCTCATTGTGTTCCATAGGCTGGTCAACACCAGGAGGCAGGTTGGAGTCATGAGATAAGTCATCTTCATTGGCTGCGTCTGAAATTGAGAAATATAACGGCAGAAATTTTTTCGATTTTTGATTTCACTCAGTTAAATAAACATAGCCCTCACAAAGTGGTTGTAAAGCATCCCAATAGAAAAACAATAGATTTTTCGGGTGCTTAGAATAGACTTAGATGAATCTGTGTAGTTTTAAATCACAAAGTTACTTATTTAATATTTTTTTAGACACTTTTAATACACTTCAAACGTTTATACGTTACTATAATAGTAATGGAATAATATAAAAAGCGTGCAGTTAGATTTGTGTAGGTACAGTTTAGAAGCAGGAATATAATATGAGAGAACTGTTCAAATAAATAAATTGATGTATTGACTGTTGCATCACAACATATTATTGGAAATTAATGTTTTATTTACTTAATAAATAAGTAAAATAAATAACCATAGGGCTTCTTATAAGCTTCTAATATGTTAATATTTTTTATAATATTGTGATACTCAATAGTATAGATGGAGTGTAACTCTCTCCATAGTTTACTGTTCTTGTATCTGATAAATATCCGTTGATTACGGTTGATGCAAAGGAACCGAAACGTCAGGAATATGTAGCTTTAAAATAATGAAGAAACGCGTAGTAAATCCAAAAATCTTAGTTTTATTTAAATGAATACTCTCGAAAATCTTAGATATCATTATTATCCTACATTGATGAGAAAAGTGCGACTGCAACAGTCATGAAACTTAACGAAGACTGAATTATTTGATAATTTTTATTGCACAACCTACGTAATTTTATCATACCGCTTAACTTAATAAATTATTTATTATATGTACGCTATTATTCGTTATACACAGCATTCTGCGAGTTTTTATTTTGTTATTCATGTTGAAGAGATATAGAAGAAAATATTTTATAGTGGTGGCAATGGTGCATTTCAACAGTAGGTACTCGATACGCTTGAAACAAAATCAGATCGATGTATTGACAGGAATGTAAGCGGTCAAATTCAACTATTAATTTTAACCCAAACAAACCGGTCAAAGTAATTAAAAGTGTTTAAAAATATCGTATATATTTGTACAAGTGTTTTTATTCGATGATGATTAAATATTTTTGGTTAATTATTATTCTACTATTAACCTGAAGTGTGACGATACATAAAAAAAATAATGTTCTTTAAAAGGAAATTAAATGGTCAACGGTCGCCATGAATAGTATATTATGTCATAACAATGTTTTAGTATTTACAAAAATTAAAAATTATATTTTTATAATGATAACAAACCAAAAAGAATATTTTTATCTGACTCCTAAGAATATTTAGTGAACAAGCTACTCCCGGTTGTGTCGAAAAACGTTATTGGTTTATGCTTCTAAATTGGCGCCATCTGTTTGTAAGAAGTTTAAGCATTATTTTTGTCGGTAAAACAGTCCTCAACAATTATTGGCTAGTGTTGCGTTTTACCGCCATCTATTGAAAAGATGTAGTGTAGTTGTTGTATCAACATTACAGGAGTTTTTCTTTACCTGAAAACATGAAAAGAATAATCCAACTAGATTGATTTGTAGCCCCCGGACCTCTTTTGAACATGATAAGCGTTAGAGACCTTGCCAGAAGACAAATTCATTATAAAAAACTGCTCATATAATGGCTGAAGCTAAATGAAATAGCGAAATTTTTAAAACTTTTTCTGTCCATTTATAAATACCTCAACATTTTTTTTAATAAAAATTAAGAAATAATGAAATAGAATACAATTAAATATTAAGTAAAAATTATAGTTTTGTTGAAAAATAAGACACGTATGTATATAGAAATCCATTCAACAAACTAACTTTGATTTGAACAAATAAAATAATCTTTCAATAACAACTTACTTACTCACTTACTTATCTTCAGCGAGGCATCAAATGTGTCTTATAACAATACACTCTCCTCGTTAAAATAACAATACAATGATTGTATATTTTATGTTAAAATTATATAAAATAATATAACGTTCCATTTAAAATGCTTTTAAGAAAATAAAAAGTACTTAAGTTATTTTTTCCAAAGCAATTACACTTTTAAAATAAATGATTAAATTGTTATTTTATTTTAATTTATTTAATAGTTACCCGTGACTTCGTCCGTGTAAAATAAAACAATGGAAAAACTTTTAAACTAAACATGACTAGGTACGCTTAATTTCGGTATCGAGATAAAAAGTAGCTTAAGTTACTCCTTATTACATCAGCTACCTGGCATTAAAAGTCCCGTCAAAATCGGTCCAGCCGTTTCAGAGATTAGCAGGAACATACAGACAGAAAATTTTTAAAATAGGTTATTTAGGTGTATGTGACGTATATACATATATGCGTGTAGTAAATAACGGTCATTTCAATATTACGAACAGACACTACAAGTCTACATCTATTTTAAATGTTTTACAGTTTGTTTGTTTTACAGTTGTTACTTCTGATAACACGAACTTATTTTTTATCAGTCCTTAATATAAAAGTAACTTAAATGATTTCATAATTTCTTGCTTGATGTTCCTTCCTAATCATTATAAACGATAACGATTAGTCAGAACAGTTAAAATAAATCTCTTATCGATGTTATATATAATCCTTACATGAAAAAGAAACGAAACTTCTTATCATTCCATGTATTCACCGTGCGTGTGTCGGGTCCATCGTTACAGGGAGAGGAGCTTCAACAGTATCTGGGACTTACGACCCAGGTGTAGGTTTAAGGGGACCCTATCTAACGCACGTTAAACGCTCACCGTCCAAGCTCCTCTCTCTACCTAAATAAATTTGAACCAAACCTACTAGGGAAGCCTTCAAAGTACGTTATAAGAATGAATTGATGTTACTTCTGGGCAGGCCCAAATCCTTTAGTGGGTTTTAGAGATTTAGTCCTTATACGTCTCGCTTCCACTTCTACCACTTACAATTTTACCACAAAATTTACCTATAGACTTTTTTCTTTTTACTTTAACAATACTTTTTTTTATTAATCTAGTCTAATTCCTAATAATATTAGAAGATAGCACCAATTTATAAATTTAACCTTTCATGCTACAACGTGACGTGACTTTAATAACTTTTTGGTTCCATATTAATATTCTTTGTTTTAAGACATTTATAAATAACTTATTATGTAATTAATAAAAATATTACATTATACCTGTATAGGTATCTGTTGCTTTTATTGAAAATGATAATAATAATTAATATCGTTCAGGCCAACAATATAAAATATAAAATACTTAGATTAAATTCGCCTCATAATTAGAATTTTAGTTTATAAATAATATATTTCTCATTCGTATTTTATCAAGCATATGTTTTACGGCGATGATAAACAAATACGGAATTATTTTACAAGCGTAATAAATTACTTACAATTCTATGTGAAACTAACTTCTGTTCATGACTTTCAATAATTTTAAAAAGATAAAAATTATGTAACTTTCACAAAGTTTTCTTTTCTTTCTTTCGTTAAAGATAGTTATCATTCGGGTGTTTTTTTTATTTTTCCTTTGTCCTTAATGACACAAAATTGAATCTCGATGGCATTTCTATCGTAAAAGTTATTGGTTAGTTATTTAAGTGAGTTTTACACTGTTTATATTGTTTACTTAGTTTGTAACAAAAACAAAGAACAAAGTTATACTCTTTGTATCTACTTACTAATAATATTTATTATATATAACATATATTGTGTAAAATAAAACAGACATTATAATATATTTGATTATTAAACGAGAGTTACATTAAAATGTATATATGTTGGTTGTAAATATCGATGTATTTATTTATCGATCAATAAATAGTCTGATCCTTGTAATAAGAGATATAATTATGTTCAAGTATTTATATTATAATTGTTTTATTATAAGTATTCAATGCGATGCATTTTTTAGAGAAAGGAAATAAAGCTTTGTTATCTATATTGGATCTTAATCTTTATTATTTGAGGGAGTTTTTGTTTAAACTATATTGGTTGACTGACTTTACTCATCCCTCGATGAATGTATCATTTTGCACTTGTATCGTCTCGTGGCTTTGTTCGTATATTCAGATGTTTTCAAAATCAAACAATGTACATATATAAATTTATGTCCGTACGTTTCTCTATTTTGTGAGCTTAATATCTGCTAATACATCTATCTACATTTTCTCTGAATCGAAAAGTAAAAAAAAATTTTTAACGTAAAATAAAGATTTAAACTCACTTGGTCACAGTAACACGTCTCCTAGAGATGCTTTAAGTAGTAGGGTCTGAAAATTCGAAACAGTTCACAATCAGCCTACCAACTGCTTGCATGGATTGGTAAAAGTCATCTTTACTATCAAAGAGTTTACCTTTAAAGTTATAGGCCAAGCTACTCAGCATCGACTTCTATCATCAGACAACCAAATCCAAAGTGGGGCTCCATCCCTTCTTTTTACACCGTCCTTACATCCGGACGAAGAGATACACTTCCTCGTTTCTGATACGCAAAGGTTTTGAATTGTTTGGCCTGTGTCTGTGTTTCCTTGGAGTTATAATTCAGGCCGTAGGCGTCTTCACGAAAAGGGTGATATAAACTAGCCTGACCAAGCAGTCTGTGGGGCTAGGACTAAGCGCTTTTCGCACAGCACCAAATGGTCCGTCTCCAAGTACCAAATGAATAGATTCCTATGATTTTGTACACCGCGTTGCGTAATTGACCAGTTCATGCGTATGAAAGACCGTAACTTAGCGGTGGAAACGGGAGCTCGGATCCTCAACCCCTGGTTTGATTATTGTGGGTTTAATTCGTCTACATCTGAAATGGTTGACGGGCAGGCGGCACGAGACACTATTCGGGCTGGTTCAGTTAGTACTAGTATAACGTCGCGAGGTGAGAGGCGGCCTCTTGCTCCCAAAGGCGTTACTGTGACCGGCAGAAGGGTTCGGCTCGTCATGCAATGGAAGAATGTATTGCGTGGGACCGTCATCGTGGTGAGCTGGCAGTCGTCACTGGCAGCAGAGTCATACCGAGGAGGCCTTGGTCCTTCATGGCCTCCCTCTGAAAGAAAGTCGTCGTTTCAAGCAAAGCACTATTTAGGAACAGGACTTTGACTCTTATGGCTCTTAAGCCGATACGATATTGGAATAAGAGCAACTTTGATGTTCTTGGGCTTATATTATATTAAGGATGCTCATATTTTCTTAGTACCTTTATCGTGGTTGGAAAATTTGCCCTAGGGTCAATAGCGGAGGAATTAATAGTAAAAGTGACCTATATTTAATGGATCTTTACAATAATGGGACGAGTTATAGTTGAAGACAAAATATACAAATGTGTTCATGTGTATATATCAAATAAAAACTATTATCAAACTGTAATATACAACAACATTACTTAAATAATATAATTTACATAAAATTTTAATTAGAATTTAAATTTTTTAATTTGAATATTTCTTGAATTTCTTTTTATAACAAGTAACTAGATATAAACGTTATTTGTATATTTAATTAACTATTTTTACTGTTAACTTAAATATACAAATTTTCTTGACGAAGTTTTAATTGTGACAAAAAAATTTATAAAGTTAGAAGTGATTCTTAGTACTAAAAATATGTTTTATTAATAATACTTAGGTTCATATAAAAGCTTATTAATATTAATCAGCAGTCAGCCTTATTTTATGTTCTTCGTTAGTAATAAATACGTTCCCACATCACAAACTGTTCACTGTCCAAAATGAAGTTGTTAACGACACTTCTTCTAAGGTGAGTGAATTAATATAATTTGTTTAATTACGATGAGTATTTTGAAGATATAAAAAAAATACATTCAAGATATTTTTTTTTTCTAAATAATATTTTAGGAATATTGTTTTATTCTAGTGTGATAACCCGTATTCGTTTTTAAAACTAAGCTCTTATGATTCATAATCACTTACCTACTCTTTTAACGTAACGACTATTGAATCATGAGAATTAGTGATGACAAACAGTTTAGTTAGTACAGAAGAATGTCATTACTAAGATGAGGAGTAATAATATGTATATACATTTACAGCGCACTGTTAGGAGTTGGATTCTGTAGAAGATTTCCACCCGGGTTTAAATTCGGTGCAGCCACAGCTGCTTACCAGGTCGAGGGCTCCTGGAACGTCAGCGGTACGTTTATGTTCGTGTTTTTAATATTGAATTTAAATACCACTAATAATCATTTGATTGACAGACAAGTCTCCAAGTATCTGGGACACGTTCGTTCACACTAGACCAGAGATTATAGTCGATGGCTCCAACGGGGACGTCGCCTGTGACAGCTACAACCAATGGATGAAAGACGTGGAAATAGCTTCGGAGTTGGGATTAGATTTCTACAGGTAATGAATTGATTCTGGTGTTACAATACTTTATTGGTTGCTATGAAATACCAATTAATATTTTTTAAATCAGTGGTGGCCTAGTGGATAAAGGGCCCGCCTCTCGTTGCCAAGGGTGCGGGTTTGATCCTAGTAAATACCAATGTGATTTTTTCCGAGTCATATGTACTTTTTGAGGGTATTTAGATACCACTGACAGACGGTGAAGGAAAACATTGTGAGGAAACCTGGACTTATAATTTCAGAATTATAAGTTTGAAATCACCAGCCCGTCTTGAGCAAGCGTGGCGATTAATGCTCAAAACTTCTCCATGACAGAAAGAACCCTTTTGCTCAGCAGTGAGCTCTGATAGGCTAAAAAAAATTATTAAATTCACCGATACAGATTATTGTACTATTGTTTTTCTGACCAAGCAACTTGGTTAAAATGTACCAAAAGACACGCGGTCCCTCTCAGTCCGATTTAATATATAACAATAAGTATTACTTGATAGTAAATATTTTATTACTAGTCTTAATTTTTAATATGATATCTAATTTGTTTATATATTTTTTATAGATTTTCTCTTTCTTGGCCAAGAATTTTGCCTCATGGTTTTGCAAATAAGACGAGTGAAGACGGAGTAAAATTTTACTCCAACTTTATAGATGCTTTATTGAAGAGAGGAATTGAGCCTGTCGTTACAATATATCACTGGGATTTACCACAAAATTTACAAGATCTTGGTGAGTTTCAGAGATGTGACACTATTGTTAAAACTATTTAATACAAATGCATTGCTCTTTTACTATATAATATAGAATAAACAATAAAACAAAATTAGAATTAAACAAAAAAAAGTGTTCAAAACAGGTTTTTGTAATAAAATAATAAACTACTTGTTTTATTAATTTTAATTATATTAGTGTAAAGAGTTCATCTTTCATGATAAAACTGAAGAACCCATTTAAATTTATGTTTTTCAGTAACAACACATTCTTTGCAACTTATTTCTTCATTCGCATACTAAACGAATACTTACCTTGAACGGAAAATCATATTGATGAACAAGTAATGAGCTCTCATCTGATAAATCTGGAACTTAAAATGAATCTTGTAAATTCAATGTTCACCAGCATTAATTCTTAGTTCCTTATTTAATAGAATGTACTGAATCCATGTTTCAGTGCATTCTATTCAAGCTTGTAGAACCATTATGAAATGTTTGTTAGCCCAAGTTATAATTCACAGGTGGCTGGACCAACCCTTTAATATCAGATTGGTTTGCGGACTACGCTCGTGTTGTGTTCACTCTATACGCTGACCGAGTCAAAACTTGGATCACTCTCAATGAACCGCTGACGTTTTGTGACATTGCTTACACTTTTGGAGTTCACGCTCCAGGAATAGTTAGCACTGGAGTTGGAAATTATATCTGCAACAAGAACACAATGTTGGCACACGCTAAAGCATGGCGGATATATGACAAGGAGTTTAGACGAAAATATAAAGGTAAATGAATTATATGAATTTATAAAAAATACTTTAGGTACTTGATTTTTTGTTAATCAATAAAATCTCTAGGTTCTTCTGAATTAATTCTGCATACATATGCAAATGTATAACATTATATTTTAAAGGCAAAGTGTCCATCACCAATCAAGTCATGTGGTTTGAGGGAGATGATGAAAATGAAGGAGAAGCGGCTGAACTGGCTCTACAGTTAATGGTGAATAAAATAACAAAAAGTGTCCAAAAATAATAGTGTTACTAAATACTTTTGAAGTTTAATTCAAATGATTGAAAATGTTCATTTACTGTCGTATAATTTCAGGGAGGACTGTACTTACACCCAATCTACTCTAAGGAAGGCGGTTGGCCGAAGAAAATAGAAAAACTCATAGCAGAAAAGAGTAAACAACAGGGATTCAGGAAATCCAGATTACCAGAATTTACAAAAGAAGAAAAAAAACTAATAAGAGGTGAGAATAAAATATAAATAGTCTAATCGTTACATAAATTAATACCAAAACTAAGCATTTCTATTAAGAATTATAATTTATAAGTAAAGTTAAAAGAAAGCCATATAAATAGCAATATGCGTCCCTTTCAAAGTTTTTTTATTTAATTTTTCAAAGGCACGTATGACTTGTACGGTTTGAACTACTACACATCACGAACTGCTCGCCTCGCCCGAGGGGAAGCTGTTGGTCCTTGGCCTCTCTTCGGTGGACCAGACATTGATGTAATAATATCAGTGAGACCAGAATGGCCGCAAGCTGGCTCCAGCTGGTTCTATGTGAGTGTTGTTGTTACTGTATACAGTTGTAAGACTCATTGAGGCGGAACACTGTCTTTGGAAACTGATCGTACGTCATACGTGTTTATTGAAGAGTAATGTAGACAGCCAAGTGGTGATTGAAACAATAAAAAGCAACTAACTTGTGTTCCAGGTGTTCCCGGAAGGTTTCCGAAAGCTCATATCTTGGTTGAAGAAACAGTATGGAAACATGGAGATCTTTATAACAGAGAATGGTTTCGCAACCAGCGGCGAGGATTTAGATGATCAAGATCGTATAGATTACCATAAGAAGCATTTGGAACAGGTGATTAATATTAAAAATGAAATCAAGATGGATAAATAAAACAAGTATGTTATTATTCTAACTAACATCTTTCACCAGGTTCTCCTCGCGATTGAAGAAGATAAGGCAAATGTCGTGGCGTACACTGCTTGGTCAATGTTAGACAACTTTGAATGGAGCGATGGCTATCGGTAAAGACATATTGACTTCAAAATGTTTTTGGATTTTCTTTTGTTCATAATCTGATAATAATAATAATCTTTTCAGTTCCAAATTCGGTTTATACGAGGTGGACTTCAACGACCCAGCCCGCACCCGCCGCCCGAGAGCCTCCGCCAAGTATTATAAAGATATTGTGAAAGCTAAATAATATGATTTAGATAATATTAAATGAACTTTGAACTGAAAGACATTATTTGTTTGATGAATAATAAAATTAATTTTATATGTGACTTGGAATGTCACTTGGATCTATATCTAACAATGACTTCTACTCCTCATGGACTAGTGACTTTACTTTTACAATTTCATACAGAAATACTATTCATTATAAGTTAGTGTTAAAAGACGAAAGGAACAGGTTTTAATTAAAAGTATTATGATAGTTATAATTAGCAGGTTATGTACACACGAATAAGTTGTTTTGTTTTTCTTGTTTGTTTTTTTTTCAAATAAGAATGTTTGGATCTCCACTCGATATTCCGATGTAAATAATTTTCATAAACCGCTGATGAACAGATCGCAATAGTTTCAAGGTACACAATATATTATAGATATTAGTTGTGTTCGGACCGCTGTAACTTAATGTGCGAATATAATCAATGTTTTAGAGGAGGAAATTGTGATGAAAATAGTTTTTTTTCCAAACATTCTGCTTATCCAACCCCACATCTCTGTGCACGCCCCCGGAGAAGATTTACATTTAATCAATCTGGTGTAACTCACTGGATTGAAGACGTTTCTTTAGAAAATATTAAACTAAGTTTAAATGTTAACTTTAATAAAAAAAATTATAAGTTAAACTGATTATTTACATCCTTCGCTGACACCAAACATCGTTTCTGATTATGAAGATACTTCTTCTATCTTCCATATAAGCATTCTATAAGCATAACTTTTAACTAAAGGCTTTGGCCGCTTCTTAAAGTTGTGAGACAACATACTTAGTAGGAC